ATAATAATACACAAGATAAAAATGTTCGCCGGAAAAAATCCGCACCCCTACCGTCATAATCACCATGTATTTTAATCCATTTCCAATATTTTCACATAATCCTTTGGTCCATCGACACAGAAGATATAATTCTTCACGATGATGGTCAATTTTAAACTTCAACGGTAATATAAACAACGCAACAGCCGAAATAAACATCAATATTCTCGCCGTTTTTTTTCAACGACAAAAACTTTCGATAAATTCAATGGACCAGACGGCTATGAACGAAGCTATCCGATTATGTGGCCCCAGCTTTGCCGTGTGCAAAATGCGCAGCGCTTTTAAGTTTGGGAACCACATAATCGGATAGCTTCGTTCATAGTCGTCTGGTCCATTGAATTTATCGAAAGTTTTTGTCGTTGAAAAAAAAACGGCGAGAATATTGATGTTTATTTCGGCTGTTGCGTTGTTTATATTACCGTTGAAGTTTAAAATTGACCATCATCGTGAAGAATTATATCTTCTGTGTCGATGGACCAAAGGATTATGTGAAAATATTGGAAATGGATTAAAATACATGGTGATTATGACGGTAGGGGTGCGGATTTTTTCCGGCGAACATTTTTATCTTGTGTATTATTATAGATGTTGAAATATGATTTTTTTTCAAAACGGCATATATTAAGATTTTTTGATATATATGATCAGTACATGTCCTGGGATTGACAAATATGCATTTTATTTGGATTTTAAAGGCGTTTTGAGCTCCAAACCACAAGCGTCTGTGTTTCCCTTGATAAATTACCAAGTTTTTTCCCAAAACATTCTATTTTCCCTTTGAACTGCTAAGGGATTAAATACTTAAAATGTAAAAAAATATGAAGTTCTTCCATTTCAGCAAATAAAACCTACCAATTTATATTTTAAAGATACAGACTATCTGTCTGCAACGACGATTAAGAAATAAACTTTACGAAATCCGCGGTAAATTTACATTTTTTATATAAAAAGCAGATATTTGAAATTTATTATTACGGTTACATTATAAATTCAATTTCAAAATAAAAAAGAAGCCAATGTAAGTTATTCACAGTTGATCAAAGATGCAATAATTAAGATTTATTTGGTTATGTAGTCAAATTAATTGAGGCACAATTGCGTAAAGTGTTTTACGGGTAATGTATTGCGGGCTTTACAATTCGAACAACACGTAAAAGTAAATTTATTCATTTTTTTAAATACAAGATATATCTTGTGAAAAAGTGTCACATTTCACACTCCGAGCGTTCCGCCATCTCATTCTGTCCACCTTTATCGGATTCCGCGCATGCGCGCGACGGGACTTTAAGGTAAACGAAAGTGTCCGATCCGTGTAATATAAATCCGTGAGTGAACATTTGACTAAAGTAAAGTAACGTTTCGTGAAATTCCTTCCGGTTGAAAAAGTTATGGAGCCAACACGAAATATGCATGCATGAACGCAAGGTCTTTATGGAGACCATTCCCATGTTTCCTACAGGGTTTTTTTTTACTAACAAATTAATTGACACTGATTGTCTGAGCCTTTCCCTTGATAAATTACCAAGTTTTTTCCCCCAAACATTCTATTTTCCCTTTGAACCTCTAAGGGATTAAATACTTAAAATGTAAAAAAAATATGAAGTTCTTCCATTTCAGCAAATAAAACCTACCAATTGTAGCTCATAATATGAATGCAGGAAACTAGTGTCTGAACATGGGGGCGGCCATTTTTCTTGGCTATGTTCCGTAATGAATGGTACTTTTTCTGGAAATCAAATTTATGCATTCAAAATATCATCATTTTCTTGGTTATTTTTTAGTAAAGAAAGATCTTTGAATTTGTATTTCTAATTTTGAAAATGACTTGATTGATGCAAGTGTGTCACAGATATACTATCTATACCTACATGTATTCTGTATTCAATTTCATACAAAAGGCCATTAGAGACCTGGAAGTGAGATCATTCACCACAATATACAATACATGTTGTACTGCAAAACATGAAATAATACTTTGCATAATGATAAAGTATTTAAGGTGAAAAAATATATTGCTGTGACTATTATGTAGTTTAGTATAAATTGTATCAGGCTGGTGAAAATGCCCGATCGGGCTTATATGACATTAAAAAATCACATTTCAAAAAAGTAATATAACATGTTAATTTCTTTTAAGCTTTGTTTGTTTAATGAGAATAATATTTGACATTAAACAGGAAGAAAAATAATTGGCTACTGTCACTTTTGTGAGAATTATTTCCCTTTTTCATGTTTTTTGTAACACCTAATTTTTGAAGTCCTTAAAAATTATGTTACATAATTATGCAAAATGTAACACAAAAGAAAAATTATGTTACATAATTATGCAAAATGTAACACAAAAGAGTTTAAATATCTTCTTTATGCTCTTAGTCATTTTGCAAACTTCTGTCTGCTTACGTTTCATTAATTTTCAGTGAAAACTTCAAAGTATAATGTTCAGTGTCAAAGAATTTTCGAAATAAAAATGCCAGAACCTGGAAATATTAATTAAATTTATATACTAAAGGTCTTGGCACAATAATTTAGGGCAAAATGTAGCTGATAATCACTTTTCTATACAGAATTTAACATACAACATAATTTTTATGAATTTCAAATATTTTGTTTGAAAAAGAGAAATAATTCAAAGAAAATAAAAGATAACCAAAATATTTGTATCTTGATTTGTATCATATATAAAGGCTTAATAAACACAACAAATTGGAAAGAAACAATTATTGATTTATTTTTTTCCTAGAAATATAGTATTTTATGTCATAAGTCCGATTGGGCATTTTCACCAGAATGTGTATGACTGTTTATATTTTAATTTCCCCAAATTGTTTTTTTTTTCATTTATTTTTCCCTCCCCACCATCTTTCCCTTTTCCTAAAAAGAACCCTGTCCTTCAGCTATTCGACAGGGGATAAACACCTTTTTAAATCTGTTTCATAACAAAAAGTATAATAATTATTGTAAAGTCTATATGATGATAAATTTTATCTTTTTTTTTTAAATATTTCTACTCTAGAACCAGAGGGGTATAATGGGTATTTTAGCTTCTTGACTTATTCCTCGGCTCTGATTGAAGGACTTTCTTTAATGTTACCAACTGTAAAACTAAAGAATTTTCCTGGAAAACAATTAGCAAAATCTGATGTTCATTTAGACCCAGAAATTTGGTTACTGGATAATGTAAACTGCAAGTTACCAAACAACCACACATTAGATCATGGAAGTTATAGTTCTTTTATTTGGTTACAAAATTTCATATTTTTTCAATAACCAGTGTTTTTCCTTTACTGTATATATTGGTAAAAAGTCAACTCAGCCTTATACTAACTCAGCATGGGTCAACTCTGCCCACTTTTAAATAAAAAAAAAAATATTAAGTTGTTCTAATTACTTGCATGTTATCAAGACAAACTGTTTTAAATGAAAAATAAGAGACATCTGGTATATTATTAAAGAATTATACATTGTATTTCTGCAAAATTAATGCATATTAAGAAGAAATTTGTTATGTTTACAGTATTCTTGCAGATTCTTCAAAAGTTACTGTTATACAAATGTGTTCCATTTGATAGTTTTTGTAAAAAAAATCAATAAAAATATGACATAAAAAGTTATTTATTTATTATATAAAATATTTTTAAATGTTTGTTCTTTATCATATTATTATAAAACAGCATGTAATACAACTACTAATATGCAATGTATTTTTTCAATGTCCCAAGGATTAGTTGTAATAGGTTTTTATTAACCAAATCATTGAAAATTTCTTCATTACCAAAAATGCAATTATAATTTAAGAAAACATCTTTCGACGTTTGTAAAAAGTCCAGGTTCCAATAATAAAGACTTAGAGTGATTTAACAACGAGGCCCCCTAGTATGTTTTAGGGCCAAGCTGAAACTGATTCTATATATCTAATAGATCTACCGGATAACTGCACTGTTCCCAAAAGAAAATAGACAGCAAATTTCCCGATTCATTACTGATAAATTCCAAAAATAACACTGAAAATTTCCTCAAAAATCAGCAAATTTTAAGGTAAACAAAAATAGTAATGGATGCTAACATGTTGAACGTGATATACAATAAAACCAAGTATAACCACAAGAGTAACATTCATACTTGGACTCTCGGGCTTTGGGTCTATCTTTTGTGTTAACAAATAAGTCAAATAAAGCATTAATTTATATTTCTGCATCGACTGACACAAAATTTATGAAAATCAACTTAAAAGTCAAAACTGTCAACAACTGTTATAGTTTATGGAACAGGACTACAGCGGCTGTTTTCAAGCCTAGCTAGCGAGTTACGTTCCTTCTCTATATCAACTTAAAAAAATAATTACTCATTGTATGTATTGTGAACATCAAATAATATGCCGAAAGCCCATACTGAAAATCTTAAGCTAGGATAATTGTATCCTTGGGTGGCCCAAGTACGTATATTGACGTACCTGGGTGGCTGTGATTCAACACAACAGTCAAGCTTTCTTTGTTGATCAGTAAAAATTACTTTATTAGTTGAAAAAATCAATTATTTGTATTCTAATCAAACATTTAACAAGCCCTTGAGACGTAAACAGTGAAGGTGTTGACTCGGACTGGCCCTGTCAAAGGGAGGAAATTTTTTAGGTCAACCGACAATATATCGATCTTGTTTTATTTCAATCTACTTTTATCTGTAAATCAAATAATATAAGATGATATAATACATTTTAAATTCAGTCACTGTTTATATTGTAAATCAATGTTGTTTTTATTTATTGTAGTCCAGGTTTTTTTTTCGAATCATTTTATGTGCCAAACTAACAGTTTTATCTGCCGTTTATGTCCGTTTGAAATTATTTCAAAACATGGTGCATGACATACATATTCAATTAACACATAATATTAGTTTTATGACACATGTTTCCAAATCTGATGCACCTGATAAACTTCCATAAAATGACAAATTTACCATACCTCGCTGAAGTGTTCTGGCACGTCTAGCGTCAGCCATTTTGTTACAATCCGGATATGAAACGGGGGTTACATGCGCATGCGCAAATAGGATATTTGCGCATGCGCGTGTGTAACCCCCGTTTCACGGGTCGGGAAAACAAAAATCGAATTTCACTGGCGGGTGTGTGTTACACATTCCGACCACACACATCGGTAGTACATCGATATTCCGAGGTTTACCTAGAATTTTCACAGAATGACCCTGATAGTATTTCTACGCGTTTGGCGAGGTTTACATACCGAGGTCATGGGAAAATTACCTCGCTATGTGTGTGTACCACGGTATGTTGGTGTGTTCTTCAACGAACAACCACGCTGGGCATGGAGAACAAACGCACCAACGCAATCACGCACACACGCACACACGCACACACACACACACTAATATATATATATATTGTTGTTTGTTGTTCCAGTATGTTAATGTTTCAGGATTTGTTACATATAGAGTAATCTATCAGACCAAAATTTGTAACAAGGAAACATATCAATTCCACGTCATGAATAATATAATTATTTAAACAATTTTCACGTTTTACTGTTGGTGTTGCTGTTGCAGATGGTAAATATTCCACTGAGTGACGAGTGTATAGACATCCTTATACATAAGCTTGATGTGGACGGTGACGGTGAGATAGACTTCGGGTAAGTGATAAAAGAAATATTTAAACTTGAACATTATGTAAAAGTTAGACGCTATTAAACGTTTTAATACAGGTCAACAGAGGAGGATATGGATGTTTGAGACTTTTTTCTAATAAATGTCCAATGTCCAACAACAAAGGCCTAACCCGTTCAATTAGTTTGAGGGAGAAGGAAAAATTACAAGCAACTTTTATAAATTGTTATTGCTTATTGTCAGTGTATGATATGGAAAGCAAATTTATTTTTTATATTTTATAGAGAATTAATGGCAGCACAAGCAGAGCACAGGCGAAAAATGAGCAAATTTCTAATGGCCCAGGAGAGCGACATGGATGTTGAAGACACTGACATAGGCCGCATAAGAATAAAACTTTCTCGACTTATGGCAAAGAAAATGTCGGGAAATCCTGCATTCAAACACGAAGTCGAAAAGATGACAAAAGTAATAAACCAACAAGGTGATGCAAAATTTACCGAAAAGTTGAGTCAAAGTCTGGTGCAGAGAATGAGGGGATCCTTGTCACATTTTATTGATAAAGAAAATCTTACAAGATCTGGGTCCATCACGGGAGCGCATCTTACGTTATCCGATAAAATAAAACAATGGAAACATATGAATTGATAATGTTATCTTGAAAGAAAACCAGTCATCAATGGTGACCAATATAAGATGGTTTGAACATATATACAACAAGTCTGAACAGGTGCATGTTTTATCCACAGCAATCAAATTTACCCACCTCACTAACTATTTACAATTCTAACACGACCCGCTATTTTCCCTATTGAACACTATAGGACCGAAAGTGTGTGCAAGGGGGTAGTGGGGCGTGGGGGATGTTGCATTTTTTTATTATCCCTCATGTACAGACTCAATCAAACCGCGTCTGCAACTTTCATGTAATTTTGCTGTTTTCGAGGGATCACTTTGTTTCAAGATATTTATTATGCTATAAAATGAAAGTTCACGTTCTATATTTAGACATGTGTCGTTACCATTAAACATGTGACGTAACACTAAAAATGCAAAGCGAGGAAAATAAGTAACGAAACAATTCTTGTGGTAAGTTATACTAAATATGTATAATTACACACAAGGGCAACAAACAAAATTTAAAACTTTAAAAACCAAAAGCTATCGCACGATAACGACATAAAACTGATAAGACATAAAACTGACAAATTCCACATTGTCGTACAAAAAAAACTACATAGAACATGGTATTTTTGCATCTTACAGTTTCATCAACAGACTGATCATGTGAATATATTGCTTTGCTGACACAAACGTTTAGTATCAAGTCAATGAAAGAGGCTAGATGTGAATATTTCGCCATTACCAAGAAATATCAATGAACATCACCAGTGTTTGTTTCTTTTTATTTTTTTATTTTTACAAGGACCATGAAAGAAAAGCGACATTACACTATATTAACATTAAAGCAGCAGAATAATAAAGAAGATATAAATAGATATAAAAGAAAACACACTTGTTTATATTATACATTTGAATATCATTTAAGAATAATATTGGTATTGCATGACTTCATTGAATGAACTTTATTTGCTAGGACATTACATGAAAGGAACTGAAATGTGTTGATATCAAGAAATGAACAAGTTTGGCAGCATGATAAAGCAAAGTTCACATTGATTCTGTAGACACTTCGTCACATTTGATAGTCATACTTACGAAGTAAAGTACTATTAAAATGTAAAAAATGATGATGTCAAATAAAGTGGTTATTATATATTTCTGACAACAATACAGATTTTATTGGACTCGTACATAGCTGCAAAATCTATATCAGAGGCTAGAGCTAGAGCCTGCTCCAATATATGTTTGACATCTATATACTCGTATATGTATAAAGGTACAATAAATATAATTTTCTGAGTTTGAACGCAGTGAATTAGAAGATAATTATTTCCCCCTGTTTCGTTGTAATTGTTTGCAATAGGTGGCGCTGTGCAGCGCACGAGTTTCTCGGTATAATGTACAACGTGGTCATTCAGCGCTAGGACAGCCGACGATAATGAGTGAAGAAAATTCTAATTTTAATATCTAACTAATTGTAAGATATGAAGTTGCGCCAAATTAATAAGATTTTTGTATTACATATGTTTATGTTGTTAATGCTGTTGGAAATAAAGATGATAACGCTTATCTTTTGACGTTACATTTGTATTCTATAAATGTTTGTACTTTAAGTAAAAGTATTGTGAAACAGTCGGCATATCCAAAGTCGCTTACAACAAATTAAACAATTTGAAATGTTTATGTTCGTTTCTTTCATTTTGTCACTTTGCAAACAGTTTGCAATGATCTAGGGGGAGAATATTTCTCCTCTATAAAAAGGCAAACTTGTGTTTTATAATATAGTGATTATGGATTAATAACAGATTATATCAGGTGAAGAAAAAAGTGTTAAATAACAAACAATTTTGTCAATAAAGAAGCAAAACATTAAACATTTAAGCAAAAAGGTTAAAGAAAGTCGAAACCGTAAAAGATCATCAATATTAATTAAAATGATAATTATAACAATAATAATATAAAAAAAAACATTGGAAAAAATACAAATAATAAAGAAAACTTTATTGGGTATTATTGAGTCTTCAATTAAATCACAAGGTTTGCTGCACTAGGATGTTAAAAAGGGTCAGGATTATCACATTGTTAATTCTATGAAAATATTGGTTATATGATTGATTCTGGAGAAGGTCTAAGCTTGCAAATACCATTACCGAACAAGATCAATCAAACCGTTTCAATGTCTCGTTTTTTGTGCATTTAAAGGAATTCCGTTTTTTTGTATCTAATAAACAGTAGTAAAAATTTATTTGAAGTTCGTGGAGATGCGCACAGTATGTTTTAAACATTTAAGGTGTATAAATGTAGACCTCACATAACGCCATCGTTTCAGTAGATTCATGCTTGATTTTTAGGAACATTCCGAAGATTGTATTTGTACAATTGATTGTTATGCTAAAAGGTTCATTGTTTATAGCAGGACCAAAGTAAGATCCACAGTCTGTTCCGGCATCATTAATGACATTTTCACGACTTTTAGCAACGGTCACTGTGAAATTTGTCTGTCTTTCAACTGAAACATATTCATGTTTGTAATATATTGCTTGTATGATTTAAATCAATCTTTTTAAAAAATAAATTAAAAGAAATACAAAATCACCTTTTTTGTTTTAACTTTTTAGTTGACTCAAAAGTAATATTATTTGAAAGAATAGAATAAATCATCGGGTTTGATCGTATCCTAAAGATTCTTACAATGTTTTATCCTTGCTGTTGACTTTCCTTTGTTTTTAAAGACAGTGAACTGTTACTTTGAAATAATATCATTGTAGAAACTTTTGAATAGTTAAAGACTGTAAGGATTTAACACCAGCTGCCTATACAGACTAGAATTTCTAGCTCGAGAGTAACTGTTTGCGGCGGTAATGAGGTTCTGCCCTAAACTACCCGAGAGTTAGATTTACCTGTGTGTAACGTCAGCCGGTGTTTGATTCTCTTTCTTGCATCTTACAAATTAATTATGTTTCGAAAAGAAATTAGGAAAACTGATATTTTCGTTAAGCATTTTATTTCTCATAGTGGCGTATAAATTTGTAACATGTAGCGGAAAAATGACGTTATCCAAGAACGCATTTTATTGATAATAGGCGTGTCCGAATGACGTCATTTAAGACTAGCTACTTATAAATTCAAATGAATTTAATGAGATGTTATAATGTTATGTTACAAAATTCTCTGAAATAACCTTAGCGGTCCGACGTCTATTGTGAAAAAAGAGGGATGGAATTAAATTAATTAATCTTTAAAACTCGTTTACTGATAAAATGAATATTAATATCTTACAACAACAGTCTCTTCGTAACATTATTTGTACTGATTTTACAGGACCCGGAGTTCCAAACTCAACAGCCCAGTATGAGAAATTAAGTGTGTGGGCACAGTTGTGTATGCCTTCTACCTTTCCGTCTATAGCCTTGTCTGCGATCATATGATGTTCACTTCTAAATGTAGTGGACTGCCATGCTTCAGCTCCTTGTAAAAGATTTATTCCTGTAAAAATAACAACAAAAAGAACATTTAATTTTTTTTAGATAGATTCTATGGAATATCATTTATAAAGTATACCTCATGCTTATACGAATGCCATTATTTTTTTGTAAAGTTTAGTGAAGAAAATGAAGAGGAATGTTTGTTTAGACAAATTCGTGGAATGAAGATTAAAGGTTTTAACGTCCGATTTGCGACAAATTGTGTTTCAAATGTCGGACTTAATCCCTTTGCTTTTTACTTGGCACGAAGTAAACATACTTGTGTAAATCAATTGCCACAATTGATCTTTGTAGTAAACTTTTATACGTTATACTTTAACCACTTTTTAAGAAATGAACCAGTTGATTTAAATTTTTTCTGAAAAATTCCGATTGCCTTAGTTTATTTGCAAGTAGAATTTCTGTTTAACAGTTTCTGAAAAAAAAACTAAACAAATATTCTCTTCGTCGGTCGTAGTTGACAGTTTCACATCTGTCACTTCTCGTTGCATTGGCTTAAGCGTTCACTTATTAAAATGTACTTAAAATTCTTTAGAAACTTCTTAAATGTTGTCACACGAATGCACTTTCACAAAAAAAATACAATGTGCCTATAATAATATATTTAAAAAATTACTGAGACATTTATGAAAAGCTTAATGAAACTCCCTGTTTCAGAAAATTTGAAAATTTGCATAAATAGTTCAATAAAATCGATCAAAAGAGTTCGACTACAATTAAAGTTATACATGCATATAATACGAAATGTGGAGAATTTAATGCCAACTCCCAACTCTCAATATATTTTTTTATCAAAACGACCTTATTTCTTAATTTCCAAAAGTAAACAAATGGATAGATTGATAATTACAGATGCTTTACGAAAATGCAATTCAACAGCTCTTACAACGATGCGTATGGCTCAAATGCAAAACAGACCCCCTTTAGATTGACGCATTATTAAATTTTTATGTTAGCATGGATACACATGAAATCAGACAGTTGCACAGTCTTTTATTTGTTACTGAGAAATAAAAAATATTGTCTATCCATTTGATGGAAATGTACATAAAATGTTTAGCATCAAAAATTATTAAAATTTCGCCTGAAGTTAAATGTTTTATATACTTCTATTTTTATTGACGACTCGCAAAATAAATCGGGTCATTCCGCAGTAAATCATATGTCTTATCCAAAACCAGAGGGCGCCACCGCTGAAGTCACCGTCTTTACTAGCTGCTCGAGCACCCTAAAACTGTTCCTTTTCGTCTCTGTTACATTTTAGGGTCACTCACTTGTTTCAGTCAGGAAATCGGCAGCTTACTTTAAACAAATTTTTATCGTACCGCCTTGAACGTATTCCCGGATTTAAAAAATGCACGCGAACTTTCCGTCTTAAACGTTGCAGTGGATCTTCAATCTGTGCCTTCTCAACGACGTGAATGTACCGAGGGGAAAGAGGAGAGATTTTTAATTCTTTAATAGTAACACACTTTTATCTATATGGGTTGCTGGGCCGTATCATCATTAATCACCAAGGTCAATATGAAATGACTTATAACATTTCAGATGATTACGTCACTTATCATAGCTGACCCTTACAGGAGTTTGTTCGTTAAAGTTACATTTAATAAATTTCATAAAAAACTAAATAGCGACATTTCATTAATAAATCGGGTTTTATATCGACTCCAGGTCTTATTTTTGTGTCCAGACAACCAAAATGAGTTTTATTAGCATAAAAATAGGTAACCTCATTGTGGCGAAATGGGAAGTACAATTTCTGTTTGCATGAGAAACTCCGCCTTCGGATCATCCGTACATCAATATTAAATCAACAAACATACCAGCAACTGTTATTTACATACGATGTCGTAGGACTGGATATTTTTCGAATTCTTCCATTGTACGTTTGAGTGGTATTTTGTATTTTTATTTCCTTTCTTTATAAGAAAGACAATACACACATAAAACATTTAAAATGAAAACGTCATACTTTTATTATACTTTAAAAGGAATATGCAGTGAAGTTTAATTATAAAATTTGACCTGCTTGCTTTCAAAACAAATAGTAAAATATATTTTTTAATCATTATAATATTTTTTTTCATTAAAACTTTTCGAAATGAATATAGAGCTATGTTATTGTCTCGTTAACACACTTTCTCCCAAAGAAGTTTTGCAAGTCCGAAAATGTTGCATTTTATGTAAAATTATTAAAGAAAATATTCCTTACTTTCATAATTACTATGCTATTAAACTATTATGACTATTTTTGTTACTCTTACTGATAATTTTAATGTCCTTAAATCAGAAAATGTTGCTGTAAATACAAATAAAACGAAATATTGAAAAAGAATACTTTATAACAGGTAACATGTATACTACTACTACTACTACTACTACTACTACTACTACTACTACTACTACTACTACTACTACTACTACTACTACTACTACTACTACTTACTACTACTACTACTACTACTACTATACTATACTACTACTACTACTACTACTACTACTACTACTACTACTACTACTACTACTACTACTACTACTACTACTACTACTACTACTACTACTACTACTACTACTAACTACTACTACTACTACTACTACTACTACTACTACTACTACTACTACTACTACTACTACTACTACTACTACTACTACTACTACTACTACTACTACTACTAATAATAATAATACATGTAATAATAATAACGAAAAAACGAAACGGAATCTTCATAGTTTAATAACATTTTTATATAAAGGTGTAGACAATGAAAAAATAAATCTCTTACCAAAGTTCCTCCGAAAATATATTTTCCATCCGTTGTTAGGTATTCCTGACGTTGTATTATCTAACGGATAATAATCTGATGGCTTACACTGTTTATTTACTTCATGAAAATTTACAGACAGACATCCGAACAAACTATCACAACGAGCAACACATTTGTTGATGGAACTATCATTAAAGCTAGATATGGGATTCCCATTACTTTCATTGCTGGCGTTCATTTCATAAACAAAAGATTTTGTTAATCCAGCAGCAATGTGAAAGAAAATAAAAGATAGGTAAAAATGCTTTAGAATCTTTATTTTTGTGAAGGACACAAATCTAAATTTCCAAATCTTAATACAAATTTTAGTTTTGGAAATGACCCTAGAAGATGTTTAAATGTTTAACAAATCGTTTCTTTTAAGAGAATGAGAAGCAAATATACTGCCGGTACTCGAGTGAATACAAATGAATAATGAATAAAAAATTTGCATTAAGTATTCCCGACAGATATACATTTTACAAGAGAAATATTGAAAAAAGGTGGCAAATTGTTTTTTATGTTATCTGATGTCGGTCGACCATAAAAGGTCACTTTGTTAATGTGTTATGTTTTGTCTCGTTAAATCTTAAATTTGAGATTTTTTACAAGAATATTTTTCAGGAGAATTCTGCCTGAGAGCGGTTTGATGATTGTAAATTTAACAGGAAAGAACAGAATATTAAAACGGTTCTCATTGGTCATTTTAAAATTACAAACTTAAATCAGGGAATCTTATCGGTCATTCCAAAATAATTATAATAATCTAAAGGATCTTTCTGAAACGTATACACGTCCGATTTGTAAAATAATCTTAAGAAGTATTAGAAACAAATGTTCTAGTTAAAATTCTCGGATATTTGAAATCTATGAACATTCTCCCAATAAACAATTTAACAATTTATACGGCTTTAAAATTTTTTCTTTTTTTTCTCTGGTGAATATCTTATTAAACATAAGAATATACCAAGATGAAAACTACATTTTATAAGTTTTGTCCAAATTAACGAGATGCTAATAACGTCCACGATCCCGGAAAAACATATGCATACCGAAAGACATCAATTTAGTAGATTATGTTTAGTGTTCATGATATATCATATGATGATTGACGTAATCAATTGATTTTAATTTTAAAAGAATCGATAAATGTTTGCATATTGATTAAGCATAAATAATGCGTACAGTGTATATGAATACGTATGTGTAAGGTACAGCGGTTACGGAAACACTACAGTTCCATTTGTAAATATTTTTGCAGTGTTTCCTAAACCTAAAAATACTAAAAACAGAAAAGAACAGCTTAAAATAACCTATGATAATAAAAGAAGTTTTATCTGGTCCGATTATCTTTTTTAAAGATTATTCAGTAAAATCATTCAGAATTATGTATAAGAGTAATGTAAAGCTTTTTAAAACCTTTTAACGGCCACATATACATGTATTTAGAATAAAAAAATACAAAATAATAATAATTCTAAAACACAGAACATGAAAAATTAAACAGGGAAATGTTATTTTGGATTTTACTCACTACAGTGTTGGAGCAGTATCTCAAGATTGTTTCGATGTTCTTTCATTCTGTTCAGATATAAATCAGTGTGAAGAGATGAATAAGGTGTCTTAAAGTGCATTTCAGCGGGTGAAAATGGATACTTATTTTTAGCGTTTCTGTATTCAAGCGCCTCATCCGGTATGTACTTGGATACGGTATTTCGTGCGGTGCTCTAACACTTTTATGTCACACGTTTTTTTTACAGCTAGCTTATTGCCAATTATTAATCATGAGTGTCATAATATTTTTTCTTCATTCGGCCGTTAACTGCCTAGAATCACATTAACTTCCTGTGAGATTCCAAGAGAACAACTGAGTATTCTCCCCCCCCCACCCCTAACAAGTTCCTTACCCTGACGGTGCACCCTAAACTGTTTCCTCCCCCGATAGTCATCCTCGAAATTTAGAATATAAAGAAAGTTTTGCCCCAAAAGATTTTTATCATTTATTTAACTTTCACTTTTTTGTATAAACGTATTCTATTGATATTAGTTAAAACTGTATTTCATAAAAATGGAGAAATGTTTTGCCGTCGATCTAAAAAACTGAGCGCGGTCTACTCCTTTATTAACCCTTTTGAAAGCATTGTTGTTAATCATAACAAATACTGTTCAGAAATTATAATTTTAAAAGGAAAACCACACGGTAGCATTAAAGTTTGTATCCGAATTCTAACGAGCAAATGAAGACTGTAATTTGCTCGTGTGTACTCATACTGTATTTTGTCCTATTATAATACATACATTTTTATACATATATTCAAAAATTCACAAAAAACTTGCATATGAGGATTCAATTTTTTTAGAATTTCAAGAGGCATTATTTCAATGAGAAACATATTCAAGACAATTACATTAAGACATGATTCATAAAGTACAATTTCAACTTATATAAACAGAATATAAAAAGTTAGGTAACTTGTTTAAACAGAATATCAAAAGTTAGGGAACAATCAAAAATTTAAAAAAAAATGCCCTAAAAGGATGATGAAAGAAACTGAGAAGAGTAAATCGGAGCCCTAACGCGCGTATAGAAAACATTTTAAAAATTGATCATCATTCAAAATTAGGTGCTGTATGAACTGATTAGCAGTGATTACCTAAACCTAGGTAAAATACATCATCATGCTTAAAGCAAGTAAATTATTAACAAAGGAAATAAAAGACGACGTTGCAGAATATAAGTACAGGTTTTGGCACAATAACGTATCATTTGAATTTTTGTGAACAGAAATATTAATTGTTCAATTTTAGACATTCTTACAAATGCATTATTTCTGGTTTGAGTTTTATCAACTCATTTCTACATCGTTAGTAATTTAAAAAAATGTCTGGTTCTGCACATTTTGTTATTTTTAATGTATTATTTGTAAAATTTGGGTTACTCTGTTTATTAACCTTTAAAATAACCGGCTTTTTTGTAGAAGCGGTCTGGAAATCACTTACCGACCGCCAAACAAATCCGGCAAATGTATTATTAGGTAGGCCGAAAAAAAACAAGGAAGTATTTTAATGCAGTTTTGCACTGTGTAAAACCGACAACGCCAAAGTTACTTTCAGTTCGTAGATAGTTAGTCATTTTTTGAAAAGCGCGTACTTTGTAGATATTTTTTTTGTAAATACGATTAAAAGCCGTATGCGCTGATTCATTTCTTTCAATTTCGTCTCGATTTTTGCCGTTACTTTTGAGTGACTTTTTGCACAATCGTGTACATTTTCATAAATCTGTCATCCGGCACATAAATAGCTATAATTTAAAAAGTTATGAATACATCTGCGGATGTTTCAGAATTCAAAAGTTTGCATTCATGTTAAATGTTGAATACTGCTTAATTCGATGCAATGAGGCGTGGACGGTGATTTGCACTTTCCATCACCGTTCAAGAACAGGCTCATTCCAACCGAGCTTCCAACTTTTTCAATGTATATGCCGTTTTGTGCGTTCTTTAGGGATTCTTTATTTTTCTATATTTGTTAATAATTTCTGGATATATTTTGGAGGATTGGGATAATTATTTTGGCACTGTTTGTTAAGCACGTCTGATAATTGACCCAGTTGCATTTCATACTTGAACAACCCTCGTGATTATAATTTTTGTTGTTGTCCATTGTCTTTTTTTTAGTATTAGATTTAACAATATCTATACCTGAATGTACAACATAAACATATAAAGTAAGCATATACAACCACACTGATAGATTTCGTGAGTTGGATAAGAATTTATATGGTTAAATGTTGAGTGATGTATGCCATATTGTTTAAAGAAGTTTAAAGATATTTTCGATGTTTGCTTTCAAGTGTCTAAAGCTGCTGGTTCTGCTTTGCATATACTATTGTTATTCTTTTCACGCACCATAAGTCGCAACTTTGAAGTCACGTTAATTCCAGCCAACACGATTACAGATAAATTTTTTTCACGGAAGTTGTACGTCATTACCTAGTTAAATTCACAGAGATTCATCCTCGACGAAGACTGTCTTAGTTGCCATAAAACACGATACCAAGTGCAACGGGAGAATAATGTTGCTCTCCAAAGAAAATAAACCCACATGTCGGTGATTGGAAAACATATTTCAATGCACTTGATAAGGATTCTTGAGCGGTTGAGCCACGATGAATAAGTGTTGTGTAACTTTTTATTATGGCACATTGTGATCCTGGATTGTAACTTTCATGCTATACCTGTTCTTTTGCGTCGCGCAGGAAAATAGTTTGTTCGGCTAGAAAACGTGTGATGTTATACTTATTTGGCCTGCATATAGATGAAATGATGACACCCGGACATATTTTGACATTTTATTCATGTAAATATTATTTTAAGTGATTTGGTAATCAATGATTATTTCATATTAAAGCTGAATTGACATGTGTTTTCACCGCCGACTTCCATGTTTGAGTTAGATCAAATCATCATCAGAAGTGGTTAAATATTATTATATTAAGGGTAAATTTACACGGCACATAATCGTTATCCCCCTATGAATGTCTGTATGACTTCCTCTTAAAATATAATGTTTTTCCGAAACATTATTTCATTTAATTACCGGTATGCATTTTAACTGAACCTAACAATCATCATTGACTAGCTTTTTTTCTTTGCAAGTGAGACTCGCGCTCGCTCACGGCTCCATGAACCTTTTTTGTACGTGTACGCACGGGCTATCTATGTGTGATCTTATTTATCATACAAAGCGGTTCGGCAAAAAATAGTGCCACTAAAGCGATTACTATACTTTTTGGCAGACCATTGACGTCATCATGAATATTACACTATTTCAAGGGCCACTGACGTTTATATAAATAAAAACATTTTTTATAGTATAATTAGTTGGCATTAAAAACCCACGAAAAACGAGTTAATTTTCAAATACATTTTAACACCTGATTGGTTCAAAGAGCGTAGCGGTTGGTATTTTTAAACTACCTAAGTAAAAGGTTACGTGTGTTTAACATTAACAAATGTCCACTTAAAAACTGATCTTTGGTAAGAAAACAAAAGAGAATGTTGATAATATATTATTTACAGACCCGGTGGTCTTTTAACAACATCGACAGATACGCGCTTTGTGTTTTCAAATCGCCATCCTGGTTTGAAAATATTATGACGACCTATCCTCGTCTGGTAACTATTACTTCAGAATAAA